TCTCGGAGTGAAAATTTAATTGACCTGGAAATCACAGATGGCGCAGGGGGTCCCTCTGCAGTCAATTAGCGCCCCAGAAAGCATGAAGTCAGACGATTTCTGAAGTGTTACTTCGATTTCTTTATAATTATTGTACGAAAACGACAGGTGGAGTATGCCATTTAATACAATACCCAATATATTCGACCCAGCTGTCAATATAAAAAAGAATGTCGACAACGTAAGTATTAAGAAAAATCTTTATCGACGTCGATCAAGTTCCTCGACGTGTTTCAGTTCATTTTAAGGCTAGTTTGGTAAAAATATTTGCTCGAAATATAGGAAACGGGTAGTTGTTTTTTTTTTTCAAGATTTCTTGCATAATTAAATTCGGAAGTTTAGGATAAAAGTGTACAAATATCGGAGAGTAAGTGTATGAACCTTTGATCGCGCCTGTAAGAATTCAGGAATTCTTATTCCTTCGAAAGAGTACAAGAATTAACGAAATATTTCTTTGATACTATTCGATGAAATATTTCTAATATTCTATGATATTTTCTTTTTTCAGTGCATCTCATGTACTAAAAGTATATGAATTTCGTGAATTCTTTTTAACGGTACACCTATAGACGACAATGTTTCTTTCATGACGGTCGCCTCGAAGCGCGATTGAAATTGCCATATCTCGGGACAAAAAGATATCACTTCCGAAAAAGTCCCCGATTTCATGACGGTCGCCTAGAAGCGCGATTGAAATTACCATATCTCGGGACAAAAAGATATCACTTCCGAAGAAGTCCCCGATTTCGATAAATTGAATCGTGTCCGCAACTGAAAACTGCGATTTATAAATTTGCAATAACCTTGTGTACTAAATAATGTACGAATTTCATGAATTTTTGTTCACAGTACACCTACAGGCGACGGCGTTTCTTATCGTGATGACGGCCTCGAAGCGCAATTGAAATTACCGTATCTCGGGACAAGAAGATTTCACTAGCCAAAAAATTCTTGATTTCGCTAATTGACGATCGTGCCGGGGACCGAAAACGGCGATCTCGTAACCAACCCGTAACAGGATTATCGAATGCGAGGGAATAACGAGTAATTCGTGATATCGACGACGAGCGCCGTCAGGTTGTCGGTATTTAGCGGCACGAAAAGACTCGTCCAGACATTATCCCTTCCGGCCGAGTAAGCGCACACCGAATGCCTTTGCATTTGATTATTAGGGGGGCGACAGATCGCGTGTCGGCCGAGATGTCGCCGTTTATGACTTATGTCATGAGAAAGCGAGTCGCTCCCCGAAGTCTCATCCCGGCGTCCGGTAAGCGAAACTGGAAGCCGCGTTTCCGAGAAGCGTCGCGACGACGGCCGCCTCGCAAGCCGCTCACGCAAATTTGACGTTAACGTCGGGAAACGTTTAATTTGACGGAACTCGAAATGGCACGCGATCGTGCCGAGCGGGAGGTCGGCTGGTTAAATTCAATTTCGACCCGATGCCGAATCGCCGATTTATCGAAGGCACAATGGGCACCCTCGTTGGCCGTCATTACTGCTGCCGCTCGAGCAATCCGGCTTCTTTCCTCGAGTCTCTCCTCGACTTCCATACGGCCAGCTAATCGCCTGACAACGATGCTCCTTCTTGACCTCCCCGATACCCAGGCCGTCTCTTCTGATTCCGATTTACGTTACTCAACTTTGCTACGCTTTCGGACTATTTAACCCCCTACAAAGTAGGAGCTGCCCTGCTCAATTCTTGCGATTCGTCGTAAATCCTCCGATTTTAATAGAGTTTTCCGACGACTTTTGTCAGAAAGTCGTAATTTGACCGATTTTTAAATTGCCAAAGACCTTACCAACGTCTGACTGATTTAATTGAAATTGTTACACGATTAATTAATCGTATAATAAAAATGTGCAGCTAGCAGCGAATTTTTATCGCATTCAAGTATTGTTATTATCGTCATATCATTTCAAATGACTTTTGTTCTAATTTGGCGACATTTAGCGATGGATGTGGTGATTTCTTGCACAAAAATCTGGACACTTATGCAATCTGTACGAATACCTCGAACGACGATTTTCAATTGTCGTTGAACGTGGAATAAAGAAAAGGACCACCGTACGGAATTTCTTAAAATTGAAAATACGTCACACAGAGTGGAGCCATTATAACAGTTCTGGGTAGATAAAAGGTAAATCATTTTTTCAACATCTCTGCAAATCCTTCTATCCAGCTATAGAACTCTTCTATAAATAGCCACGTCAATAACCAATGAAAGCACTAATTCTTAATCGTCCGATTTTTACATTTTATTATCATTTAATGTTTCCTATTACTTTCTTTTAATACGAGCTAGCGACAAATTGGGTGAACATTGTATCATCGACAGATGGTGTTAAACCCACCTTCGCCCATGAATCAGCGCAATTAATTGTCCCCCATTTTCGCGGACGTGGATAACACGTCACCATTAGACGTTTCTAACTGCCTCGCGATACGGATAATAGTAGCTTTATACAACTGAGGGGGCAGATAAAGTCCGATGAACCGGCATATCGGATCCTGCCAAATGCTCCGATCCAGAAATGATCGATCAATAAATAAACGCCCGGTCATATCGGCATTACTTATGGGAGTCGATCAAAATTAATTCCCCGGGGCGTTTAAAGAAATTGAAATCCGAAGACTCGCATCTGCCCGTCCCAAAGTAACATCGAATACGAAGTTTCACCAGCCAGTTAACGCAGTAACCCGTCGAGATTGCGAAACCGTTAATTCGTGTAAAATATCACTTTCCAAATTGCCGACATGTGCGACGCGCCGATTTGCATTTTAACGAGACCGCCGTCTCGGAGACGTCTCCGACTAATCGGTCTGGATTGCAGAAAATCGTGAATAATTGGCCACACACGGAGTAAGTATGAAAGGCTCCGTGCACGGAAGCGTAGGAGCCATTTCCGAGAAAGTGCGGGATCGAATGAATTCAATTAATACCGTGGATAACAGTCAGTAATAACCGGGCGTGCGTTCTTCGGGCCGATGGCACAATATGGCCGCCATGTCTTCGTCTTTAATGCAGGATGTTTCAAAGGGAGGGCTCGTGGTGGCGTGAACAATCCTTTTTTTGCAATCCTTCGGTGCAGGTCCTAGCCCTACGAGTCAATAATGAATTAAAATGCCGCTTTTCCGCGCGGTCTTACAATGTCGACGTCCAAGTTCCTCTAATTACCCGGTAATTCGTATAATTATCGCCGATCGATGTAATGCGTATGGCACAGCCAAGGCGACACGAGCGCCAACTCTACTCGAGGCTAGAGGCCGTTGATCGTAAATATTTTACGGCCAAGGATTCCATATATCTTGAGAAAATGCGCTTTTCAACAACAAATCGCCGATTACTAGGTGCCTAGGCTCGTCAAAATTGATGGTTATTAATTATTCTCCGCGGGCTTAACGGCATGAATCGAATGCGATTTCCGCAGATTATCGCAACGCTAGACTATGATCGTGTAATAATTGTTAATCGAAATAGTCATCTTTTTGTGGAACTGTTATCGGGCAGGGAACATTATTTTAATTTTACCATTACTTAGTGTGAGCTATTTCATCTCGAGAAAATGGGATTTTCCACGATAAATAGTCAATTGTTTTATGGTACAACAAATCGATGGTTATCGATAATTTGCCGCAGGCTCTGGTTACTGTTATCTCAACAAATAATTATTATTAAATAATCTCTGAATAAATGTACAGTTATGTAAATGCGTGGTTATATTTTTTATGTAATTCCCATCGATCGAGGAAAACTATCGCCGAGACTGATTTAAATTAAATTCATGTGAAATTTCTGTGGTTAATTGTACAGTAATGTGGAAATGTATTCACATTTTTAACGTAATTCCCATCGATCGAAGAAAACTATATTATTTTTACCAATATTTGGCGTGAACCATCATATTTTAAGTATCATTTCGAAAAATTCTTGAGAGAATATGATTTTTAATATCAGACCGTCAATTATTTGAATGTACAAAAAATCGACGTTTATCGATAATTTGTTATAGGGTGTAGTCACTATCACCTTATCAAATAATTAATATAAAAATCATTAAATTATCTCTGAGTAATTCCACAGCAACGTAGGGCCATGGTAATATTTTTTCACGTAATTCCCATCGATCGGGGAAAACTATCGCAGAGTCGGATTTGGGGATCCCCCGGGCTTCTAGGAACGTCGGGGCGAAGTTGAAAGTTCGGCCACCATGCAAAGGTGGAAGGGTGCCGGCACGACGAACTTGGAGACGCGTAACGTGACAGGATTCTAATTTTCGAAATTCACACGCTCTCCGAAAATTCCGTGCCCTGGCGAAGAGAGCAGCTGCGCTGCCTTCCCTTTGGCAAAACGAGACGGAAGTTAACGACCGTTCGTCACGAGACAATCCCCGAAGAAACGCGACTGCCACGTATTTCGAGGGCGGAATGGAACCAAGGAGAAGACTAACTTGAAAATGCTCACCGAGACAAGAAAGTAACTAAGGCTCATCTTTATGAAGCCGATCTACTTGACAATCTTTTCTTGAAATAGACGCAAGAGGACGGAAGGACAGGAAGAGTTTCTTGACACGCTATTTCGCGATTTCCAGGAACTTTACGTTTCCTTCCTTCCTCCTTACATTTCAAGGTGTTGCGAGACCTTGGAGCTAATATTTATAAAACACAATTTAATAGGTACCGTAATAAATGATGTATACTCATGAAATGAACGTTGATTTCCATGTTGATTAAAAGTTGTCAAAATGGTTCGCGAAACATTTAATTTTGTTTCAATTTTTATGTTAATGTCTCCGATTGGTACCATTTGACTTTACATTCAAAAACGTAAAATGGGAAATGGTGTAAACATTTTTTCTTGAATCTGGATGATCGTTTTAAATAAGAAATACGAATAAATGAAATTTTAAATAAACGCTGAAAGGTGTTTTTGTTCGAAATTTTGTTCTTTTTGTAGACTTACCAGCGTAGTGATTTTGCCATGCTAAGGTACCGCAGAGTAGGGCCAAGGTCTTTCCACTTCCAGTAGGGCTTTCCAGAAGACAGTTTTGTTCTTTTGTACATCCTTGCACAAGCTGCGTTAAAATGGATTACGTTATATGGGTTAATTGAATGGTAGATATGTTAAAATGAATACACTTTTTGGAATTATTTATATCAGGAATTAGGACGATATGGTCCTAAAGAAAATCTTACCATATTCATTACTGCTACTTGACAGGAATAGGGTTTTACAGGAAGTGTGACCTTGATGCCGGCAATTGTCATATCGTGTTGGGGACTTAACTCGGCTCTACCGGGTTTAGCTGTCATGTTTATAGTTTTAACATCCTCCTGCTCTGAATCTGTGCTGTCTGTTGATGCATTATACTTGTCTAAATTTTCATTATTAGTCGCCTCCATTACTTCTGATGAATTCAATTGGTCAACCGATTGTTTGTGTGAAATGTCATCATGTATAATAGTTGAATTAGTTTCCCGGAAGGAAGACAGAGATTCTTTTGTAAAATCTAAGTTATCGTCATCCGATTCGGTCATAGGGCATGTGTTAACATCCTTATTAGTCTGTTGATATTTTTTGTTACTTTTAGATGTAAAACTTGTAAAATTTTGATTCTTTGGTACTGCAGTTCTGAGCCAAGAAAACAATGATACGCCTCGTTTTAACGATGACGATGACGATGACGATGACGATGCCCTTGCACTTTGGTCCCCCGAAAACACGGAACTACTGACTTCTTCGTCATCAGTTATTATATGGTCTCTTAATTCAAATTTACTTGTCAAATTACTACTGGATATCATTCTTTTAGAATTAGTAATGGATCGATCAACTGATGATTCATTACAACTGTCGTCATCAGAAATATCAATCACTTCCACCTGGCACGATTGGCTTGTAAACCTTTTTTTCTTAGCATCACCACCGATAACAGCACCCTTCCTGCGAGACATTCTGCGACAAAAGAAAACTGTGATAAGTTTTTTTCAATATGACATTGCTTAAATATTAATCTCAATACACGTTTCGTTAAGATGAAACGATTGAGATCACTATGCATCTAAACTGTCTGCACAATAATTTCAAATATCTTATTATCTTGAAATTAATTTAATGCATTAATAAATCTATATTATTAATAAACATCATACACAACGATCATGACAAAGACTTTAAAATAACTTTACAGATTTCTTATAGTAATCAAGTAGATGTAGCCGAAGACGCCCATTAACCTCACACTTTTATAATCATTAATTCATCCTGTCATAGAAAATTCTAAAATAGATTTAAATTTTAATAACAGTGGCCGTCATTTCAGTCCGTTGTTGGCGCACCCTAACCTCCCTAACTTAAGACGTACGTCGTCTTACTCACTTCGAATCGATAGTCCACCCGTGACACCTGTACCTAATGATAGTGTAGATCAAAACCGATATTACCGCAGCGATAAAAACTTCAAGCATCACTTAACACAGAATAAAAACGAACTTAAACGTCTCTTGGCAAGTGAATATCTCAACAATCTTGACGATTTCGCGCGCTACGATTCCCAGCCTCGTGGTGACTCCGAGAGGCGTCGCCTCGCGGCGAAACTGTGCACTTCCGCTACTGGAGGTTAATTCAAATCTGGAAACAGAACCGGACTCAATAAAACAATCTTCGCCTTCGATAAATTTATTCTCAAATTATCTGGCCACGAAATGCCTTAACAGAAAGTATTCCCATTTACAGATAACGCCATTGAATGAACTTAAATATAAAACAATGAGCACCAGACTATCTCTCGCAGGTTCCATTTAATTTCAAGTAAAACTTCTGACTTATCGGAAAACCCCATATATCTAGAAGTATATAAAATTCCTTTTGTGCTTTTTCCAGAAGGTGAAGAAGTACCACAGCCTCGAACATAAAGTATTTCCAATGGTACAATAGATGGTAAGTGACTCTAGATAATTATTCTATCGAGTATTCTGCATAATTGGAATGGGCGTCACAGATATAGGAAGATCATTCATTGCAGCCTGCATTCTTGGTCTCGTGCTCAACTATACGTGCTCGGCTGTACATGCTGGAGTCTACATGCCACCATTTTCCTCACGCGTTACATAAGAGGTGTTTTACACCGAAGACATTCCTGAAAGCACGGCGAGACTACGGAATAAGTTTTACTAGCGGCACGGACGCAGCGTCGTTTCGGAGGAAATCATTTAAAATCTCTAGACACGCCCGGGTAGACATAGCTCCCTCGTGCAAAGCTTGCATTCGAAAGAACGAAATCCTTAAGCTCGGCCAGCGAGCCGAGAGTTATGTACGCACAGGGTGATACTCGTAAAATATACCGAGGGCGTAACGGGGGTGATTATTGTGAAATGCGCCAAATTGCGTGTAACACCCCTCAACGGTCTTGGAATATAGGATTACATTTTGTCCTCCACGGTTTACGGTCTATATACCTCGAATATTTCTCTCGACCTTTTACTTTGTTGCTGCACCCTTTTGGGATTGGCTCCCGCTCTTAAGGTGTTGTGAAAGTGTCACGTATATATTAAAAAAAATTAAAATATAAAATTCTTCTCCGAACTAGGTGCACTGAATAATATTAAATATTAGCATGTGGATATGGAGGTCCTAATAAAGGTATTGAAATTCGCGAAATTACATTTTTTTAAAAAACATTTTGTGTTTATCCCGGATAAAAACCAAAAAAAGAGATTTTTTCGAAAAATGAAATTACTTAAATAATATTTCTTTGAATTGATAAAATATTTTGGTACTGTTCAAAGAAATTAGCGTTTGGCTCAATGCATCTTTTCCCCCCCCCCCACTTTTGAAGAGCCGTTCCACCCCCTTAAAGTATTTTTCCGCCGATAAAAAAGGAATATGTATTTCTTATTTTTCAGTCTGCTTTAACATATTTTAAAGCTAATCCATCAATTCAACGAGGGACACTCGCACTAAGTAAAAGATTTCATTGAACCAGAGAAATATTTCTTTGAATAGTACCAAAGAAATATTTCGTTAATTCAAAGAATGATTTGACTGAAATAAGATCGAATAAATTGGATACAAACATTTTTCGATATTACGACCATTTCTTCAAGTAAATTGGAGTCAGATAACAATTCTTTAAATTATCAAATTATTTCTTTGATTCAATGAATTCTTTTTCTCAGTCTAGTACCAAAGAAATAATTTGTTAATTCCAAAAATAATGATTTAACTAAATTAAGCTCAAATAAATTGTATGCAAGTTTTCTTCGTAATTACGACAGTTTCTTTAATTTAATTCCAGTCAGATAATAATTCTTTGAATTACCAAAATATTTCTTTGGTTCGATACATTTTTTTTCTCAGTCTAGGGTCCCTAATCCCTTATTTCGGACTCACCCCGTGAAGGTCCGGCATGTGGGTGGACATTCATCCACCCTATCTTAACCGCGTGGGCGATGCGGTACCCACGAAATATGAAATATAAATAAAAGATATTCTTACTCCAGCATGCAATAAAAATGTGGGGAGATAAAGGCAATGCGCGAGGAATACGAAATGCGTGGCTCGTCCAGCTCGTCCCTTCCTTTCGACCCTAGGGGCTGTCCATTCCGAGGAAGAGCAGCGCATAGCTGTGATTGCTGGACAACTCTTGGAGTTCGCAAGCCCGAGCATTTTTATTTCCCCTCCAGGGGCAGGGCTAAAACGCTCCCATTTTATATTTACGGTCGCACAATGGACCGATTTCTCATGCTCTCGGTTCCTCCCGGGTCTTGGACTATTTTCATGATATTCACGATTTGTCATACGGGGATGGACCAAGAGGTTGTCGTTCTTGCCAAGTTCCCGCGCGTGGCCAGGGATCTCTCGATTTTAAACGACCCGTGTGCCAAACTTTCGTCCCGGCCACCTGGGACGATTAATTTCTGTCGGTTGCCATAATTCGTCGTGATTTAAGTTGGGAGATGTTGCATCATGGGACTGATTAACGAACTCTTCGTTTTTTAAGCACATAGACCCTATTCTCGAGTCCGTATGATCAACATTCGCCCGCGAAATTGACAATTTCGTGTACAACTTTCAAACGTTAACCAGTGTCGTGACTTAGCAACAATGCAAGATTTTTCATGCGAGCCTGTTCGTATTAAATGAAAAATTAGGATAAACTCGAAAATAGAAGCCCAAGCGCGGCGTTTCCAAAAGGCGAAATAAAATGTACGAAACGGCGACATCGGATTGAAGAAAAGAGAAGGGAGATCCAAGATGGCGTCCCTACGCGGAGAAAAAAGATTAATTGACTGAAATAAATACATATCGTTGCCTATATCATATACAAGTGCAAGAAACAACTACTTTGTTGAGAAGAAAAATGATCGGAAAAATGACAATGAAAGGGGCGCAAGATGGCGTTCCTACACTTTTCAAACACATCTTTAACAAAGTGAGGGGTAGCTATCTTCTCATTGTTAATTCCCTGGTACATCCCAGACATGATAAATTTGAGGACAAGAAATATCCTCCGTTTCCTAGCCACTTCGTTTTCTAGGTCCACGCCCAATACTTCCAGAAGATAAAAAATAAATACCGAAATATCAACGCCAGACTAAGTGAAAAGCAAGATATCGTTCCTCCACATTTCGAGCGCATCTTCGACCCTGCGAGGAGCAGCTATCTTCCCGTAGGTAATTCCCCGGTACTTCCTCGGTGAGTGCCGTTAACAAAAGCCGCGGGGAGAACAAGCGGGAGAGGATAAGCAGGCCAATCGGGGAATCAATCGACGTTGTCCGGTCGGTTTGTACAAAACTCTTCCGTCAACGAAATCGCCTGGGATTGTTCGTTGCGGAGCTTTCTTCGAGGCTGAATAAAGAAAGAAAAGAGGGAGAGGTGGCCGGGGGCGGTTTCGAAGCCGATCGGAGATGGGGTTGCGAGAGAGCGCGAATATCCCGACGAAAGAGGGGCCGAGAGGGAGAGAGAAAAGGTAGTTCGGAGTCGTGCAAGGGACGGCTAATTCCGCCGTGATCGCATCTGATCGATGTCCCTCGACGGTGCCTTCACGGAGAATCTATTGTCCCGGATTCCTTAAATACTGGTGCCCTCCTCGGCGTCTCCTCTCTCCTCGCGTTTCCCTCGCTAATTTGCTGCGACGAGCTTTACGATTACGGCTCGTCACTTGGCTGGCGCTCCTCTCGCGAGAAGGAGAACCCAGCCACCGGCAGCTCGGTAATTCAACGGGAAACAGGAGAAAGTAATTGCGGGGCTTTTTGCCCCGTCTCGGCAGCGGGATACCGACTTCGAGCGGTCCCGATAAAGTGACTCGGAGTTACGCACTCTCGAGTCCCCGGATACCTCCCCGGGGAAAAAAATAACCGATTCATCCGGCACCCCTTAATCTCCCACTTACCCTCCAGCGCCGCCCCTGCCTGCTTTAGCAACCACGAGGAACGCACAAACGGCACGCCCCCTCCTCCTCGAGAATATTTCGCGATTCCCCGTCGATATGTTCCCGATTATTACATGGAGGGCTAATTTTTCCTTCCGAATTTGCAGTTCCACCCGCGGAAAAGGAATTCAATCGTCGTAAGAAATTTCACTTGCGACAACAAACGTGGACTCTTGAAAATGGGCCAACAAAATTTATCGCCAGAATCAGTTTTCTTATATTGATAACAAAGAAAAACAATTACTTCACCGAGGCAACACCAATTCTATTCATAGTTGCAATATTCTTTTCAAGCAACAACAAATTGTATCTCCCTCGTTCGTTTGAATAGTGACAAGAATATGTTTTCGCGGCTGCAGCAAATTCATTTGCTAATTTCGCAAGCATTTGTTCTACAGAAAGCTCCCCATCTTCGATTCGATATATAGATGGAAACTTTTTTCTTGTTGGTGCGATTATTCCTACAGTAAGAGCAAAACTTTATCGGTAATGCTGTCCTTTGCTAAAAGTGCAAATGTCTTTTTTTATCGCGCAGTTGGTGGAATTAAGTTTCAGACGTATCGAGGCCCTGAAGAGTATCTTTGCACGAAATTCCGCCTCTACGTGTCTCTGGACATTACATGAAGAGCTAATTTTTCCCATCTCATAGTTCCATTTGAAGAAGCGAATTTTTCCCCGACGCGTCTCGACCCCGAAGGGCGAGGACAAAAGATTCCCGTCACTGGGAGCCTGGATAGGCCGTTTCTTTATCACTCTGTCCCCAGCCAGCATGATTCTTTTGTTTTAGTTTTGGTCGAGGGTCTCGGACATAGGTCTACTCAATTTGGCCCTCTTTTCCGCCCGTTTCAGCGCCGCTCGGCGTTTTCAAGATTTAAAGGCCTTTATGTGTACCTCGGTACATTTCGATATGTACGGAATGACCCTATCATATCACCTTCAATTTTCGATAACTAATCGACCAGTTTCTCTTCTTACTCTTATATCTACTGTTATGCGAGGTATCCGTAAAGGCCTTAAGTGCTCACGACATGTGCCCACGCACTCGCGTATCGAACGTGCGTGCGATCGTTCCGTAGAAAGCACCAACGATAAGAA